TAAACGTAATTGAAGAAAATGACGTGAGTGCGTTTTATATATAACTTAAATAAACAAGAATCTTAAAAAATTAAGAATATATTCTGCATAAGCAAATGTTTTATTGCGTTTGAGAAATTTGGGGTTAAATTTACTATAGTTATTGCATTTATTTTCGGATAATATGGAATATGCAAAAATCGGCACGTTTATAGATTCAAAATTCTTTTAAAACTATTGGTGTTAGATTATTTTTACTAAGCGTTTCTACTCATGATTAGTTAAAAGAGTTTTTACTTAATAATATCATCTAAAATGGTGGAATTAATACAGACTATCAAAGATTTAAAACTCAATAAATTATTCTAATTCAAATTTTAAAAAAATGAGAACAATTCTTGTAAAAATTCATTATGCATCGAAAAAATGTTTTTTCTCAAGACGATAGTGTCCTTAATATATCTTATTTATAAAATCAATTAAAAGCTTTCCTAATTATAAAATATTTTTTATTTTACGATTCAGAGCAGAATTTCTGTTTGACGAAAATAAATTAATGATTTAAATTCCCCAAGGAATCCTGCTTTTAACTAATATAGATATGAGATAACTGAAATTTTAATTTCCCGAAATTTCGTAATTTTAAGTAAATATAAATAAGTAAAAAATGACCAATATTTTCTGAAAAAATTCCAAAATAATTTCATTCATCTGTGAATAAGTCCTGAAAATTTAATTAAAATCCGACAATCATTTTTTTTTCAGGAATTTTCAAATCAATGTGTTTTTAACTATAAAAATGCGCCAAAATTTCTAATACAATGTAACTCGGATATAAGAAACCCGGATATAAGAGACTTCTTCTCCGGTCTCGACAACTCTCTTATATCCGGGTTACACTGTAGTAATCTTTGGTCCACACGCTGGCAACAAGAAAACCTAGAATCAGAAAAATCTACTGAATTTTTAAATGATACTATACTGGGTGTCCATAAATTTCGTGTGCATTTAAAAAATTATAACTTTATTTGTATCTGCGATAGAAATAATGTGTAAAAAATGTTATAAAATTTAATGTACCTAGTTTTAAGTATAGCTAAAATAACTAATGTGATTTCAGGCATTAGTGTAAATCAGTTGGCAAATGACTTCCGTGAACTGCAAAATCGTATTACCCTTTGTATTACTAAAGATGGAGGACATGTGGAGACTTAAATAAAATTTCAATAAAACCTTACAAAATATAGATTTACTTCTTTCTAATCCTTTTTAAAAATTATTTCTATCGCAGATACAAAAAAGTTATAAAATTTTTAAAGTGCACACGAACTTTATGGACACCCTGTATTTATACTCACCTTCAGAAAAGCATGTCAGAGACAATCCGGAAATTTGAAATTTAGGCTATGTTAGAGATCTTTAACAACGTGATGACACTTCATTATTCAAAATTAGTATAAGGTGACTATATTAAATTAAAATGTTAGTTTGTCGATGTAATTTTCGACGTGATAGAATATATATGTATAAAAATAACTTACAATATACAGGGTGTTGCAACAAAATCCGGCACTCGACGAAACGAAATAAGCAATAAAAACAAAAGTTGTATATGCAGATACCAGACAGTTTGACAACTAACTAACGTTTTTCTCTCTACCCTTTTCCAGGATGGAATATGATCGCAGAGCAGCGGTAGAAGCTTCTATTCGCGCCGGGAAGAAGCCTGCAGAAGTGATGGCCTGGTTTGGGTTCAAGAGGACTATGGTCATGGACATTTGGAGGAAATGGAAGGCGTGTGAGAACAAGGACGAGTTTACTGCTAAAGGAAAGACAAAAAAACGTTCGTTCTTCGGCCGTTAGGACCGACGAGTTCGTCGCCGCCGGCAAGGAGATAGTCGACAATGAAAGACGCCAGAGCTACGCCAAGATCACCGCTGACATGCGCTGTCACAAGTCAATGATCAGCCGAACGATCAAGAAGGACATTGGTTACTCCTCCTACCGCAGGTCTCAGCGCATGCTCATCACGAATGCCTTCAAGGAAGGTCAAGGTGGCGGCTTTGCTGAACGATCTAAAGCACGGGTCCGCCGGGATGCTGAGTTTCTTCCCTGATGAAAAGAATTTTATCCAGGACCAGACGAGCAACAAGAAGAACTACAGGTGGATCTACAGAGACATTGAGGAGGTTCCCGTCGTGATCATACGAAGTTTCCCTCCTCTGTCATTGTCCTTAGCATCATCTCCAGCGTGGGGGACGTCATGCCTCCGTTCTTCTTTCAAAAGGGCCTGAGAGCCACAGCTGAGATTCACCAGGAGGAGCTGAGGAGCGTGGTGAAGCCCTGGATGGACGAGATCGCCGTCGGACGACCCTACGTCTTCCAGCAGAACTCCGCTCCTACACCCAAAGCCAAGACGACCCAGGCGTGGCTGATCAATGTGTCTCACCACTGGTCGCCGGATTGTGGCCGCCCTCCTCACCGGACGGCGACCCCCTTGAGTATTTCTTCAGGGGAGTGATCGAGGCCAAGAGCAACAAGCACGCCCACAACACGGTCGACTCTCTGAAGGCTTTGACTCATTTCGCGCTCGTGGAGATGTTCACCGCCACCGGTGAAAAATAACGTAGTATATAACTCTAACTGTTACTAAATAAACTGTCGGGTCTCAGCATATGCAGCTTTTGTTTTTATTGCCTATTTCGTTTTCTTTTTATCAAGTGTCGGATTTTCCTGCAACACCCTGTAAAATAAATTTAGCAACTGTAACAACAGTCATATAATTCGTAATATTAGACAGACTTAAACTATTGTAATATATATATATATATATATATATATATATATATATATATATATATATGCATATGTGGATGGGTATCTTGCTTAAATTACCGAAGGCGAATTTGGCCAAAAACACAACAATACAAACAAAATATATGCAGATACACACAGGCACACACACAAGCGCGCACACACACATACAAAAATGACATAAACTAAAATTAATAAAAATTATACAAGTAGTAACCAAAATAAACGTGAAAGGACAAAAGCGTTCCGTAACCTAGAAAGCAAATTTTATACCGAAAATAACAATTTCCTGGACAGGAAATTATAATACATGGTAAGTCTTAGGGTCTATCTATCTATCACTTACTCTCTCTCTCTCTCTCTCTATATATATATATATATATATATATATATATATATATATAGACAAAGTGAGAGAAATTATACAGAGCAGATGATTCCCGAAAATGGACGTCCAGTGCTTTTCTGCATGTATACGCGTTGAGGATTCCTGTTGTAGACATGATAAATTATTATGAAATTATATAAATCCCCTACTTATTAATCTATAAAATAACCTATTCTGGATTTAGCTTCTAATCCTCTAGATGAGAAACTCGGTGAAGGTGGTCGTTGCATTAGGGGACAATCCGTTGAGTTCTGTATGCTTGGAGAGTGTCAACACCAGGAAGGATGAGCTATATTATGTCTATTAACTTAGTTTCCTCCTCGCCACCGTAACCTGTAGACCCAGAGCGAGTAGCGGCGCTATATCGAGTCTAGTTTGTGTCTTCTTAGTCACCGAGGCCAGTGGTATGACGTTTGTGTTGTATCGAAACTTCCCGGGTTTCAATTCTCGGTAGTGGATGCCCACTGCTGATGAGGCCCAAATAGGACAAAATGGCCATCTTGTGCTTTCTGCATTCTGTTAAGGATTATTCTGGGCTTGATGAATTACTATATATATATATATATATTATATATATATATATATATATATAGTAAAATATATATAGTAAAATGGTTGACAATGGATAAATCTATAGCCGAAAGCGCTCCGATAAAAAAAAAAACATTCGGATAGTTTTTTATATAATTTATCAGCTGAAAAGAAGAAATTTTTAGATCGCATGAGAAATTGTATGAAAATAAATAAAAACAACTTTGCTTGCCGTATTCAATGAAATATACAGGTTGTTTCAAAAAAGAATACGCCAAAAATCATCACGTGATATGTGTTGAAGCTTAAATAAGCATGGAATAATACAACACAAAATGTACGTTAACAAAATGTATTGAAACAAAGAATAGGTACACAATATTTACAGTTAGTTTTGGTATATTCTTGGGAAGACTGTTCCTGCATAATGGGTTGACTAAATCGCAGTCGGGCAGAGTCTCTGGATTCAATTTCTTAATCTCTACTATCTTTTTATTTATTGCACATATGTACAAATGTGGCACAAAGGCCGAAAAGGGATTGGGGTGAAAGACGGTCATCACTAGTCTTAGATTAAACTTAGCTAGCCACAATCACTGACCCTATCATACAGAACAATATTCCTTTCACCAAAACAACACATTTATCCATACCTTTCTTACTACAAACACCAAAATGCCTCTCTGACTCCATGAAAAACCTAAATAATCCCCTTATGTACAAAATATTTGTCTGTGGGGGAGGGGCATAAAAAACAACAACTTTTAAAAATGAACCCCAATGAATATATAAAAAATGACAAAATATATTTACAAGAAACCAAATAAAATTAGTGTTAGTAATAAAACCCCCACAAACTCTTGAATGTGGCAGAAATATCAGTTAACTGGACGAAATCGATGCGGGACTTATGAAAATAAAGCCACTCCATTCATCCCAAGCACTCACACAGGCACACACTCATTTATACACAACAACAAGTACGAAAACACACACACAAACGAAACAGGCGCCCCACATCTACCAGAGAACTGACATTACTGACCACCTAAAAAAACGAGGAGGGATGGGGAGTTAAACTAAAGAAAAGGAAAAAAAAAAAGGGACAGAAATAAAAGGGACCAATGAGCAAATACACCTTAGCTAAGTTTACCAGAATAGAAAAACTAAAAAGAAAAAATACAAAAACCTAATCTAACCTAACTCCGGGATGGGTTGCCTATATTTCAACCCAGGAAAACAATATCATAATGCCTAACCGGCATCCAAATGCCACTCAAGGTCAGCCCTTTTACTCGGCACATTCGCGCAAGAATCACCCACCTTTTGCTGAATTCCGATGAGGAGAGCCGCCGCCTTTCCGTCCTGATCTTGACTTTAAGCTGATGCTTAAAGAACAAGATCAGTTGGGAAGAAGTGAACTTCTCGCCCTCATGGAATCCCTTCTGACGCGTCGTCCAAATCACGACTCTCATAACCCCTAGTAAGCAACAGAACACATAGTGTTCAGCCTTCGTCATCTGCGGCACCACATTGCTACAAACAGCTCTGGCATCCAGGACAAAAACCTTTCCATGCAGCATGCGAACCATGAGGCCCTCAAGAAACTTGCACAACGGCACTATCACCCCGCACTGAAAGAAGGCGTGACCAATAGTCTCGACTTCCCCCCGTACAGCGACGACAGTTTGGACAATGCTCCAAGCCTGCTGAACAAAGTCTCTTGCTGACCCAGAGGGCTTTACGAATCAGCAGCCAGGTGGTGATGCCTCATCGTTATTGAGACATTTCAACCCGGGCGCCCAAGGCCATATCGAGCGAGCCTCCCGCTTCGTAAGACCGAGCTCGCCAATCAGATCATCTTGTACGGACCCCCTAACTAAAACTTGATATAATGCCTTGCGAGACAACGCCTGGGCGTTGGAGACCATCCGAAACCCGTAAGAGGAGCTTCAGAGCGCGACGACATTCACGATAAAAAGAGAGCACTCGGCACGTGGTAAACGGCCGGCCTCTTGTTCGCACGAGTGCACACTTTTCAGGGATGGAAAATGTTTCTGGACGTCTTCTTTCCAAAAGGCACCCTCCTCATTCGACCCGACACATTCGGTCTAAAAAAGTAATGCGAAGCATATATTGACGGATCTCAATGCTAGGCATCCCCAGACCGCCCTCAGAGGGATGGAGGCAACAGACCTCGCGAGATACCATAGGGGCCTTGCCTCTCCACAAGAAAGAGAGAACAAGGTCCTGACTAATTGCATTAGTCGGGCATGCAGGAGTGGAAGCACAGAGAGTCGGTAGAGGAGGATCGGATAGATGTGAAACACATACTTCCGCCCTTCCTTTCAGGGAAAGTCTCCTCGAGACCACAGATTAACCACCCGATCTCAGCCTTCCCTTGTACCTCCGACCAGTTCATTTCCAACTGGAGATCAGGACCGAACCAGACGCCGAGTATCTTGATCGGCCCATCCGTCAGAGGAAAGGTCCGGGAAGAGAAACTCCCTTCCACGCACCCAACCGCAAGCCCACAGACTTATCACGGTTGATCCTGGCCCCCTTCACCATCTCATACCCACTTATTTCTTTGCTGACTTCGTCAATCTCGGCTCTGCTCGACACAAGAGCCGAAACGTCGTCAGCATAGGCAGAATACCTGGCCGAGGTGGTAGCGCCAGGCAGGGTAATTCCGCGCAGGACCGGATTCGCCTTTAACTTGCGAAGGAATGGTTCCAACGCAAGAACGTAAAGCAAGGGCGATAGCGGACAACCTTGACGAATGGAGCGAGACAATACGAAAGGCTCCGACCTTACCCCATTCACTTCCACCAGCGCACCGGGGTCGCATACAAGAGCCGGATCCAGGGCGAAAGTCGGCTCCGAAAACGGCCGCCGACAGGACAGCCTCCAGAAACCGATGGTCAACCCTATCGAAGGCCTTGGACTGATCTAAATTGATCAGCGCGGCTTCACTGACGACTTGTTCTAAGATCAAGCGTACCATATGAAGGTTATCCTGAATCGTCCTGCCCTTCACAGCACAAGTCTGTTCCGGGGCCAATCAGACGAGACAGGACAAGCTGCAAACGGTTGGCTAAGATCTTCGCCAAAATCTTTAAGTCAGTATTTAACATCGTCAAAGGGCGAAAGTTCCCTAACCCATCCCCACCGTTCTTGTCCTTACGCAACAACTTGATCACACCCCTGGTGAAGCGTCGAGGTAAAGACCCTGCCTCATCCAGTGGTTGTAAATCAGCTGCAGCAAAGGAACAAAAACGGGCGACAACCTCAAGTACACTTCGTAGGGAATTCCATCTAGTCCCGGAGACTTATCCAGGCCAACCTGCTTCAGCGCATCCCAGATTTCCGACTCTGTTATGGGACCCTCGCACCTAGCCGCTTCCTGCCTCCAAGGCAGGGAAAGTCAGCCAAATAGGCATCGAACTGAGCAGAGCTCAGACCGGGCTCCCTGGTGAAAAGATCCTGGAAATAAAGCCGAAAGGCCTCGCATATGCCCGCGCTTGTAGTCACTGTCCGCTTATCCGGCAATGTGACGCACGCTATATGTCGCTTAGCCGCGTTCCGATTTTCCTCTGCACGCAATTCTGCGGCCATATTCGTCGCCTCAGAAGACATTCTCTTTAGCCTAGCCCTAACTACCAGAGCTTGATCCTTCTTGATAAGCAAGGAGGCCAACTCTGCCTTAGCTAAGACTATGTCCCCACTAACACGGGATTTGACGGCCCGATCAACTTTATCTTCTAATGCCGTTTGCGCCGCTAGTC